AAAAATGATTGAATCAAGCATGGCAAGTATAACAATACATCAACCAACAACTCATTCAATGCTCTTTGTTGATGAAGATAAGTCTAAATTCATGATGCCAGCATCTATATCTCTTAAACCTACTAGTGACGCTTCGATACATCTATCTTTTCAATATTCAAAGAATTGCCAACACGAATTTATTTTAAACCCTTACAATAATGAATTCATAAACAAACAACTTAATTTCTCGAAAAAACCGGCCAACCGATTCATCTTATTTAGAAGTTGTTTTTCAAACGCAGCATCAAAAAGATTGCATTGTACCGAGCAATTGTGCCCTTTATCTGCTTTATCTAAAAAGGATCATTTACATTTTATATCACTACTCAGTTCGCATATATATAAACAATATAAAAGCGTTCTCTTTAATGTTTTTGCTCCATTATACGAAAATTTAAAACGTTCTAAACAAAACAATACCGAGACTTATTATTGTCCATCGCACACGAAAAATCCCATGCATATTGATACATATTCATGTGCATGGAGTATGGTGCCAATTTTAGGCGCATATACGTATTCTGCGCAACCAGTTTACTTGAATCATTATCAAATCGACGTAGCCCCACAAACGGTGAATTTCTCAATTCAGCAGTGATATTTTCGAAGTTCCAAATCCCATACCAATACTGTATTAAGTAACAGGGATTTAGTCTTCTCTGAAAAATCTAAATTAGGTTATCTTTCTTACAATATACATGTCATTTTTTAAAAAATGTAATACAAATTCTACATTAAAAACAAACAAGAAAATTGCATTGTTACTAGGAAATTGTAATTTCCCTTTATAATAAAAACGCGAATGAATCAATGAATTTTCGGCATTTTCTAAACTCAATCCCAACAAAATGAAAAATAATATCGCTATGGGGAAATAATTGTTTAAAACCGAAGCGTACCCATTTTGAAATATATTGAAGAGAAGAGCTTTTGTACTAATTGCCCCGGTTTTTCTATATATAGATAGATCTTCAAGATCAAAATGTGAGTTCTCTTTTGATAAGGCAAAATAATAAAGTCATTGTAATTCTCTTTTCGTGCAGTATTACAATATTCGTGTTAAAACGGAATCCATAGCCAAGTTTTTTTATATTTATTGTAAGATGCTGTATATATTTGACACTCTAAGATTAATTGATTAATCTTGAATGAAGGAACAATATAAAAAAATATCGGAGATAAATGTATATATTAAATAGCGAGCAATTAATAAGCGAATTCAACTGTAATTGCCTGTGGTAAATATGTTTCAAGTTCACAAGGGATTAGAAAAGAAACATAATTGAGCAGCGGATGACCCAAGTAACGCGTGAAAAGCGCATGAAAAAACTTTTAACATAGATATCACCACCTTTGTCCAACTTGATGTTGTTCCTTTTTAGAGGGTTCAATATCATTCAAATGATCTCTTTTCATTTGGTACGGGCTCAAAGAATTGGTATAACGCTAATACAAGTTGGATTTCTTTACAAAATTCACTTAGCATCATTGCGTTTCTATGAGGAAAATATATGTTGAATGAATCTTGTGATGTTTGCGGTTAACACTAACAATCTCAATTACAAAATACTTTTAGTTGAACCAAAAATGACATGACAAAAAGTTAACATCGACCAAATTGAATCTATATACTCGTTGACGTCATCTGTATGGCTTACGTGTCAAACAATATTACGCGTCATTCAATTTATTTATTTTTTATTTGTTTATAATTCAATTGTTGTATACTATATATATAATATATATGTATATGTAAAAATTACAAAGATTCCTTCTATTAGAATGTGTGTGGATATTCTCATTTCAAAGAATCGAAAATTTTAACTGTACAAAAAACTGGTGATAAAAATTGTTCGTGCATAAATTTTGTTGAATTTAATAAGCGAATGAGAAGTATAATTTTTGTTTGCCGGTGTTCTTGTTTTCGTAATACCAGCTACGAAATAACAAAAAGAAATGAGGTGAAAAAATTAACAACGATGAGGGTGTTGGGAGGGGGAGGTTATGTAATATTGATATTGAATGAATTTGTTGGGGTTTGTTATTAATTCAAAAATAATCTACAAAAGAAAAAAAAACTGTTATGATACAATAATAAAGATATAAAAATGATGCTGAATTCTAAAATATAATGATAGACAGATGATGAGTTATATATTATAGTAATCTAGTGAACGATAGGATGGTCTGGTCTTATGATAAGGCAGTAGGATGATGAAGGTGCAGATGTAGAGATGATAGGTGTTAAAATGAACGACTGCAATGACTGCATTTTGTAGTCAGTTGGATTCCTTGATGCCGATCAGTACTATTGTGATGAAAGAATAACGATAAAAGAGTTTTCATGATGATGAAGGAACTTTTGTCGGCGAAGTTGATATAGGGCGATGATGATGGCCATACCTTGGAATATTACTGTTTCCACGACCGCTGGCAGTTGATTTCGCAAACACGACTTCCCTCTCCTTAAAATCACTATTCTCTCGTTGTAATTGTTCATTTTCGTGTATTAATTTACGTGTTTTCCCAACAATCGCATTGTAACGCACTTTCACTTGCTCTTGTTCATCTTGCAATTTCGACAATTGTTTTTTCAAACGATTGACCGATTTTTTCTCTTCTTGCAACTGCTGAGAATACTGAGCATCAATCTGTTCACTTCGCTCGTACGACTCCTTTAATTCCTGACGCAAAGTTTCACAATCAAATCTGTACCTGTTGCTTTCACGTTTCAGCTCTGCATTATTTTGTTCAAGTAATTCACAGTCTTCCTTGATTTTCTCGGTCTCTTCAATCATTTGCTGATATTGCTCGATCACCTGTTTACTCGCGGTTTGTAATTGTGTGATCTTGTCACGGTAATGTTGATTCTCGAGTTCGAGACTGTTAATTTTTTGTGATAACGCCTCCTTTGTTTGTCCTGCTCCAGTCATTTGTTTCCTTAGCTCACCATTTTGTGAGCGCAATTGTTCGATTTCTAAATTTAGTTTGGCCACTTGTTTTAATAATTTTTCTTTTCCATCATGAACACATTTTAGTTCCTCGTGTAGAGCTTCACGTTCAAATTGATATGAATTATTCTCGTGTTTTAGACTCATTGAATCTGCAATTAGCGTTTCATGAGATTTCGACAGTCGTGACAATTCTTCTTGTAAATTTCCGCATTGAGATTCTAATTTGCCAAATTCAATGTCGAGACCTTGCCGTTCTTGCATCATTTGTTCGGCTTGTTTCTTTAATCTCTCAATTTCTTCAAGACGATCTCTATTCTCTTTTACCAAAGATTCACGCTCCAATCGCAACTCTTCCATGCTTTCTTTAAACATCTCAAGTCCCTTTTCTAATTCCTGTATTTTCACGGCAGATTCTTGAACCTGAAGCGAAAATTGAGCATTCGCTGTCTTCAACGACTCATTTTCCGAATGGATCTTGATGGATTCTTCACGAATCGCTACCACGTCCGAATTGTAACTCATGGTTTCACGTTTCAGCTTATCTAGTTCCTGATGAGTATCCGATAAAAGTCGTTTATTCTCAGACAAAAGTTGCGCGAGCTTTGATTTATCGGCGGACAATGATTCATTTTGCTCGGTCAGTCGTCGATTTTCGGATGAGAGCTCGGTTGCTTTTGCGGAGAGGAGAGCGGTATCGGACTTAATTTGCTCGTTTTCGGTGCTTAGAAATTCGACACGAGATAGTAGTTCCGCGATCTTTTTTGCGTTATCTTCTTCTAAAGTGTGATTTTTTTCTAACGTGATGTCATGACTATTCTCTATGTGAGAAGAAGTGTTCGATATGGGTATTGGTGTTGTTGCATCCTCGGTTGCTATTATCTTCTCGCGTGATGATATTGAGGATGATGGTATCGTGTCTTGTTTACCACCACATACAAATATTTTTCCGAAAAAAGATTTTTTAGTTTTATTTTTTGCCATCTACAAATCAGCGGTAATATATCGATGTTTGCAAGTGTATTGATGAACGAAAGATATAAACACTAAGAATTTTTATTGGGCTATGTATTACGTATGTATACTGTATATATATTCAAAATGCCGGGTTGATAAGCAAGTAATGCAGACGAAAACAATGCAGACGAAAACAAAATGTGTGATTTTATTATTATTATGGTAAAGATGTGAAGTGAGGTCTATTAAGAAACAAAAGAATAAATTGTTATTATGCTGCTGCTATTATGATGATGATGATGATGATGATGATGATTATTATTATAAAAGTAAATAAAAACAAGATAAAAATGGAAGTTAGGAAAAAAAATTGGGTAGTTGCGGTTTTTCAAGAAAAAAGACAAATGAAGAGGATTATATTCTTTTTCAATTCTATTGTCCTCGTGTGTCTTTATGGAGTTTGTTGTGTGGGGGTTTATGTGGTTTTTTTAAGGGAGGCGCGCGCAGGAATTAATTAACACTCCTATGAGTCAATTGTTATCGCGTGTATCTAATATCTATTTCTATGTGTGTGTATCTGTGTTAATATTATGATGTTTTTGCTCTCTATATCCCAAACAAAACAAAGCAGCAGCAGCACGAATAAAAAAAATAAAAGAGTAGTGGAAAATAATAGTACGTAATAATTATTTTACACGAATACCAATTTTAATCTTTTATTTATAAACAAAAAGCGATTCGTGATTTGTGACAAACTTAAATGAGGATGAATGAATGACTTTTATACTATATATTAATATTATTAATCTATAAATGATGATGGAACTAAAAATAAATCAATTAATTGATCAATTCGGTCAATCAACCCGAGATAAATCGAAACTTCACGGCAGCACTGGAGAAAAGGAAAAATACATTGTTGCGTATAAACGGAGGGAGGGGAGTGGAGTAATTCTTCTTTCTCTGTGTCTTTCTTTGTTAGTTGGGTAGGTCGAAGAATATTAGCTACTTCTCTATTCTTCCAATTTTCTTTTTTTCTTCCACTTTCTGCGTTGTACTATGTTAACGGATGGTGGATTTATGTAACTACATATGTGCGTAGCATGCGATTGTGCAGATATTGTATAAATAACAAAATGTAAGTATATATTTCAATGCAGTAACATGGGCCAAAGAAAACTTTGTTATTTTCTTGTGTCATAATCAATTAATCGTCTGATATTCGGTATAAATTGCGGGGATAACTTTTCCCTCCATCATTTCTTCTTTTATCTTCCTAATCGGTTTTCAATAGAGAAATACATTTTATTCGCGAATTTTCTATTTCCAATTTTAGTCTGTATTTTATATAAAAATAAAAAAAAAATTTGGGGAAAATCGAAAGACGATAGTTACTAATGTAAATTAACGTAAAGCGACGTGAGGCAAGTTAACACAGCAAAAAAATCACAATGGAGAGAAACAATGGGTCAGTTAAAATTAAACTGTTGAATGACGAAATGGAATTCAATTATCTCGTCTTTTTCTGCTTAACTTATTCAACTGCCAAATTGAATGAATTATACTGGAATGAGCGTTATTTAATTAAGTTTCTCCCATTAAAGGTAGCTCTGACCAATGGAGTGCATATCCTTTTGCAGTTTGTATTGTTGACGATGATGAAGAAAGTAGCTTTTTTTTTTTTTGAGTGATTGGCTGCTGATGATATCTATTGTTCTCTTTGTGTCTCCGTACTTTAATACTATACATACCATTTGTTAATTTACAGTATTAAACATATGTTCCAATTTGATTCGCTTATGTTTTATTTGATTCTGGTCAAAATATTTTTTTAAATTTGATTCAAAAAAAAATTCACACCTACTCGCTCTTATTGATCGATCATCGGACCAGAAAATTATCACAGGATATATACAAAAAAAACCTGGAAACCGGAGAATCCCTCAACGAACGTAATGATAATTTAAGGAAAATCCATTATCAATCTTCAGCTGCTTTTCTCACACATTTGATGTAGCTGTGCTGCTTCACTTTTTTTCGAATCATTTGATTGATATCACTGATTTGCTACGTTACGTTATCAGTTTCAATTTCAGTAAGTCTCTTAGCTACACATACTAATAGGTTCATTTCATTTTTGAAGGAACGCGGGTAATCAAGTAATGATATGTATATGTATTCTTTTCCCCAGCCCTCTTTTTTCTCCACCCGTTCATCCGCTTACATACATACAGACATATACATACTTTTTGCGAGATTCATTTAATGCGCTCAAAATAATATCTTGTCGATATTCCGCAAAAAAAAAAATCGATGAGAACACACAATGATGCAACACGTGTATAAATAAATTGTAATGTTGATGGTGACAAAAAAGATCAGATACCCTCGGATCTTAGGAAATAAAAAGAAAAAAAAACTTGTTTAAAATGAAAGACTAATCGAGTGATCTGAGAAAATTTTGTCCTAACTAGAGTAACTTTTAATACATGTACATTTATATATGGTAATATATTAATGATAAGTCCGATAAATATGCAATCCACTGCAGAAACATGTGTCTTAATTTTTTTCGTGTCAAAGCACCAGCACTGTATATCATTGATGTCGAAGAAAAACTTAGCTATTATCGGTGAAGAAGAACATAATCTAAAAGGAATGAGAGCTGAAAAATATTTTGCTATTTACGCGTTTACTCTGAGAAGAGCCATCAAGCAAACGACAAACCATCAATCATTTATTGATATTATTAATATTGGAAGACTTAACAATGAACGAACGTTTTAAGATCAATCATAATGATATCAGTATCATCAATAAGTAATAGAAAGCGGGTTTGTACTCTCTATCGACAATGCAGGGTTCTTTTCATAGCATTTTCACATGTGCATGCTTACTTGGTAACAACGAATTTCTCATCAAAGGTGGCGATGGTGGTTGTGTCTTCAAATGTTTCAATTTTTAATTACACAAGAAATTTAAGTTTGAACTTTGAAATGATTGAGCCAATTATTGGAATTTTTAATTGTAACATACTCTTAGATAAAGATTTCTTTGCTTTTGTATCATCACCTATGCTGATTTCTCAATCATTGATGTCAGAGACCGATCTATTAATAGAATGCGAAAAGATTTATCTAACATTAAATATTACTAATAATAAATAATATTACTAATTACTAATAATATTGATTCGAGTTTTATCAGAGATGGATAAAATTAATTCTCGAAATATTTTTTTTTCTTTGTAATTCGAATTTTTTTCAAGTATCTGACCAAAACCCATAAATTTTTATAATATATGTCTATGTATATATATATAGCGTATATATGTGTATATATATAGCTGAAATTAATTAAAAAATTTTTTGCTGCCATTGTGGGCGAGCAAATCCGGATAGAAATAATCTATATTAATTAAATATTAGACATGGGCGTACTGCAACAAAACCAAAAGTGTTATAATACCTCGACCATGGCAAAACAGGCAAAAGAAAGTGACTGGCACGTGATAATGATCCAGGGCCATTAAAATATCCGATAATATTAAATATGATAAGGTTAGGGTTTAGATTGCGAGTAAGTCATAAATAAAATTGTTTTTCAGACATTTATTGATAGTTTTTTAAAGATATCTGTTTCCGTATTTCTCGTTTTTTGTCTTCGGTCTATTTTCTTGTGCCCGGATTTTTTTGCCGGGATGATTAAAAATCTGCTATATTCCTATTGGTTGTCAGGATAAGGTGTAAAATTGCCCTTCCCGACACTTTTCTCGTAATATCACTTCATCTCTGAATCGGATTTGTTTTTCTGGGTCGATCAAAAACTTGTGTCTTATCTGAACAGATTAGGAATTTTTGGTTCAATAAAACTGGTCTGGCTAGGGTGCATGTAAGCACCGTTCTAAGATTCACAAGTTGTAGTACGCCATTCGCGGAGGTAACCACATTCACAGAGATTGTAGTGGGATATAGAAGAGGCATTTCTAGAAATTTAAACAATCGCTTATTTTTGAAAAATAGCTTGTGTCTGCCTTTTGTGTTCTAAAAAATGTTTTGTGTGATTACGTCACAAACAAATGATCAGGTGACAGGAAAATCTTGCCCTACATCCTGGGCCTTTTTGAAACTTTTAACCTTTTCAAACTAATTACGAAGCTTCAATTTGATGCATACAGCCGAATACACCAATCTTTTTATTTGAGGCGGAAGATGAAAGAATGACAAGGATGTAACTTCTATACAAATCGTTTGAACACCCAGTCGGATATCAAGGAGTCATACAGTATTTGCTGCATTTCGTTTTTCTCACGATAGCATAATATTTGCTTTCAGATTCCACATTCTCTTGTAATTATAGTTTTCAATTATAATGGCGCGCACTGCTTTTTTCGTTGTGATCTGCTGTACTGTTTATCTTTTATTTCTTTTTTGACAATGATGCCTGTTGTTTTTCTACTACTCAGAACAACGCTTATTTTCTGTGCAAATATTGTCATATTTTATTTGCATTGTTATATTTTTGTGCGTCTCGATTAGCTCGTCGTATTTTGCACTGACCCGTTATCGAATTCTTCTTATATGTCATACGAACATCATTTCGAATTTGCACCTTCTTAGCCGATACCCCGACTAACGCCTGTTGAACCCAATTAAGTATTGGTTTCCCTGCTTGCTCAGCTTTTAATCGCTGTTATTTATCATTAGTAATTTTGAAGTCTCTACAGGAAACAAGGCCAATCGAAGAACGTAAGGATCAACCATGTTCGTATTTCCTAGCATCGTTGCTCCATAGTAAACTGTTGCGAATTCTCTCCCTTAACAACTTTAGATTTTAAATGCATATATCCTATGTTCGAAGGTTAATCAATGCAATATTACCCTCAAGTGTTGCTGATTCATACACTATTAATGTTGGGAAGACCAAGAGGGAGGACCGCTGGAAAGAATCGAGAAACACGAGCACATAGCACTTATGGTCTACAAGCATCAGGCAAGTCAACATGAGTGCATCAAGATGGAATATCTGTAAAGTAGAGATTACATTTGATTCTAATAAGTTATATCTTAACCATAATATTCCGATTATCAGGTTATAATGTTTTCCTTTCTTGATTATCCAATTAGCATAAGCATGCATGCTGTCGATATAAGTACTAGAAAGGTGTTGGGATTATTCTTAAGGCAAGGTAGGCTTTTTTTAAGTACTTTTCGGCCCTTGCTCGTGGATCCCATTCGTCAAAGATTAGATTCCTAAGAAAAGTGTCGATCATGTGATTTTTAAACCAATCAAATCGCAAGATATGAAATATTAATTAGTTAGAGTCAGGGGAGGTTATTGATCACAAGAGGTGAAAATTTCGCAAAGAACATTTTTGGTAGAGCATAGAAAGTACTCTCATAGCAAATTTCGAGATACAAGCTATTTTTCAAAAATAAATTTTTTGAATTTTTCCGTTGCAAATTGTTCTTATAAATCACATGATCGACACTTTTTCGCCATGGTTATGAGACTTTTGCCATACTTAATGTGGGCATCGCCTGCAATAAGGTTCCCCCCCCCCTTCAATGTGCAACAGCCCTTCGGAATCCTAATTCAGCTGTGAGAAGTTTACTTCGGACTGATTAAATTTTATATATAGAATATATAGAAAAAATTTTTGTTGCCATTGTGGGCGAGCAAATCCGGATATCTATATCGATATATTTAAAATCTGCGAGTGGCTCTGTTATTACTCATTCTCCTCCTCGTGTACTTGCTTTTTTGTTTACATGATATGAATTATCAAATGTGTGAGAAAAAAATTAAATTGCAACTCACTTTATGTATCGATATTTTAATTTTGGCTAGAGCCGTGAAGTATTAAGTGGCATTTAATTGATTTCAAGTTGCTTAAAGATGTAATGTTTTACATAGAAAAAGTCCGTTCTTTTTTTAGATTCCTGTCAAATAAATTTCTATATATATAAAAGATATACTATATACATGTACATGTATTCTCTTTTACAAACTTCTTGAAACTTTATTGTATGATTCATTTATGTCTCATAAAGATACGTTTATATCTCATAGTGTCCTTGAAAAAACTTGTTTCTATACAAGTTTCCATCTGTTGAAAAATAACGGGATATTTTCCGTGCATGTTCCTTGAACATTTCATGTTTCATTCAATGATTGATAATTTAAAATTCGCATTTTCGTTAATCTCCTTTAGTTGAATTGTCTCGAAAAAAAATTACATTGTCATGCAAATCATGTTAATCCCACAATTCCATCAATCCCACAATTCCCCACAAAATCAACAAACTCTAGGCCGGATTATAACGGTACAGTCCGATTATACCGAGTGATAGCTTATTCATTGTAGCTATATAGTCAAATGGCCCGGACTCAGATAAAATCTTGTTGGATTAACTAATACCGCAGTTCATTTTTATGTGTCTGTGGTTTCGCTATTATCCTACATTTTTTGTTGCAGATTTTCATCAATTAAATTTAATAATATGCATGATGTAAAAAATTTAACGTTTTGACTCTAACCGTTGATTTTATATTTTAAAATTCACGTGTGTCCCTCGGACAAAATCGGTAAATTAAAAGTCTTTTGCCAGCTTTAACGTTAGAGCTTGTTTCAAACCAATTTATCTTATTATGAATCCAATTAATTTTTTTTAAAATTAATGCACACAGATTTTTATTTAGGCGGACTTGTTTCAAATCTCGTATGTTTGGATAATATCACACGACAGGCAAAAAGCTGTCTTACCAAATGGACTTTAATTACACCTTGCTTTAGCATGCTCACGCTTTCATGAAATAGGAAAAAATTATTTAGACTTCAACAGCATTGCGCCGAATCGCGCGTCATTTAACGAATAAAAAAAACCATTTTTCCCCAACAATCAGAATTTCAATGGAACAACGAACAAGAATGGAAACTTACTAACTCGAAAGAAAAAAACAATGTACAATATTTGAAGAACCTTCTACCAGACATCCCCTACTTTTCGCGCATACACGCATCGATGATCAAAGAATTATACTGAGTTTATTATTGTCGTCGTTCATGCTTCGCCGTTGTTTCAAAAGCTTATTACTGAATAAATGATGCAAGCAAGTTAATTCTTTTTTTAAAATTGATTGCCATTGTTTAAAAAGTGAATGAGTTTCCATACGAGTCAAGGATTAGAACCCGGGTACCTCTAATTAAGGAAGTGAATTGTTTCTATTATCGGATATTTAGCGTTAAATGTACTAGAACAATGAATGAAATGTCATTTATTTTATAGTATTGAGGTATATCCTAAGACGACGGCGCCAAAAACCAGAAAAAAATTATGTTATTATTCTTATTCTTTTGCCCCTTAAAACAAATTTCCAGAACCGAAATTCAAATAAATCAAACAGAAATGTGACTAGGAAATTTCGTGATCCCAATAATTCCGATAGTGGGTTCAGTGTAACACCTCTCAAAACCAATCGTAACCCAATTTAGGTGTTAATAAACTCTAAAAATTTACAAGAACAAAACAACGTCTGTTTTTTTACCACAAGGCAGTCTCATAAACAATTTGTGATTAAGAAAAAAATTCGCCCACGAAGAAAAAGACGACGATGGCGATGATACTTTAGCTTTTTTATAGAGATCTCTCACAGTTGCATGAACTCTATTGTATACTGTTCATTATCTATATAGAACTTGATGCATATACATTTCATCCCTTCGTATTACTTTCTATTTTCTATTATTTACTCGGCACATTTTAAATCAATTGTTGATATTATGTATGCACACTAATTGGTCACTGAAATGACTGGCGAGTAGAATGCAACAATCTGATATTTATTATTTATTATTACTATTTATTATCTTTTACTTTCGTCTTGTCTGTTCAGACTGCTTCTGACGCTTTTTTCTACCTCTTTAATTGTTAACCTATTGTTGAAAAGTCGGATAATAATAATAATAATCATAATCATAATCATAATCATAATCATAATAATCATAATAATCATAATAATAGTAATAATATAATTTAATCAAAAAAATGTCATCACGAACCAAAAGTAAACCTACTCCGGAACGTCGCCTCACTTCTCCAGCAGTAACTTCGTTATCATCGTCAACAATTGCCGTTGGCGCCGAAGAAATATCCACCTCCCAAGAACCGGATCATAATATCTTAACATCATCGTCATCATCCCCCGCGGTAGTAAATGCTGAAATAACAAGACTTCATAAGGAGTTAGTTGCCGCGACAAAATCCAACAAAATACATTCTTCGAAAATTTCGAGACTAGAATCAGAGGCAAAAACCCTTCGGGCTAGTATAACGAAGCTTACTTCCGAGAAAAAAGAGATACAATCAAAAAAGGATGAAAAGAGTAATGTGCTCTTGCAAGAGAATAACTCGTTGAAGTCGAAATTCAGCGCGGCGCAAAAAGAACTTGTTCGTCTACGTAGGAGAAACGAAGAGCTCGAATCAGCAACAGGTGGTATTATTAAAGGTGGAAAATCGGAAACACAAACGACAGACGTGGAATCCTTGCGCAACGAATTAAAACAAGTTCAAAATGCGAATAAAAATCTCAAGACGGAAATGAAGAAATTATCGACTGATTATGAACAAGCAAAACAACAGACTGATGAATATAAACGACAGGTGATGAAAATGGAGAAAGAATGCAATGTGTTGAAAGAAAATAACAAAAAATTGACAGCGGAGAAGAATCGAATTGAGCGGGAACATAAAGATTCAAGACAACAAATTGATCACTTAACTTCTCGAAATCAACATTTGGTCCAAAAAAGTATAAGTCTTGGTGCCGAAAAGAATAAATTGAAATCAGATTTATATTCACAACAGGATGAATACGTGCAATTGAGACAGACAAATAGAAAACTCGCCAGCGAGAAGAATAGTTTAAAACGTCGAAGTGGCACATTTAATATAAGGATTGATCCAACAGCACCATTAACTAAAGATTCAGTAATAAAGAGTGACAATAGTAGCAGTCGTACTATATCGGAAATTGAAGACACAACAACGGTCATTGAATTGGAAAATGCTAGAAACGAGATTGATGAGCTACGAAATCAAATCTCAATAATTCAAAACGATGGTAAAACATTAACAGAAGCAAATCAACAACTGACCAAGGATAAAAATCAATTGGAAATCACGATCAAAGAATGTCAAGAAAGAATCGAGCAACTCGTTTCTCACAATAAACAACTTATCGATGAACTTGAGAATCTAAAAGCAACGAATCAACAATCAGAAATAAATCGTAGCTCGCGTGAAGTTGAATTATCAGCAAAAATGCAAGAATTGACAACACTCAATAGTCAGATGCAAGAAGAAATATCAAATCTTCGACAAGATTATGAATCGGTGAAGGACAATAATACTCTTCTAATCAGCAAAAATGAGCATTGGGAAAATACAGTCACAGAATTACGTGAACGAATTGAACAGCTCACCTCGCGTAATCAGCAATTACGGGAAGAAAGTAACAAACTAACAACTCAATACGGTGAACGTGTAAATTATAGTAACACACGTGAGAAACAATTGAATTCACGTATCATGGAATTAGAACAATTAAACAAACAACTTCTAGATCAAATTAATCTCAGTAACCGAGAACGTGATTCATTCAAACAAAATTATTCGCAATTTGAACGCGAGATTCATGATTGTCGTGAATTAATTGATCGATTATCATCACAAAATCAACATCTAATGGATGAGTGTAATAGTAAGTACACCACACCGCCGGGATCAGATTCAAGTCGTAATGCTTCAAATGCAATTGTTCAAATGTCAGGTGATCTTTCATTAAAAGTCACTGAATTGCAGCAACAAAACGAGGAGCTTTCTAAGAAACTGACGGACATGAAACGCGAGCGAGATGATGCGAAAGGAAAATTGATTGTTTGTACCGCTAAAATGCAAGCTCAAATTAAAGAGTTGAAGAAAGAAGCAAGTCAATATCGATTCACTTTGGCAAGTCGAACTGATCTTACCGCAGTATGATCAAAGATCACATCCTACCAACGATTTTACTTATCTCTTATTTTTTAATTAATTTTTCAACAAAAAAGTTGTAATAATTTTTCTTATAGAATAATTTTTCACTGTTTTTGACCTTTACTTTTGCATCATCACATATTTAAAAATCTTTGCAAATGTGAGATGATTATTTCACATAATTTGATTTTTTGGGAGGAGTTTGCCTTTGACATAGAAAGAGAAGAAACAAATTCTATTGGGAAGAATGAAGGAAAATTAATAAATGACGGATATTGTATATGCATCTCGAATCTGAAAAAATAATAATGGTTTCGGAGAGTCATCACAAATTATTTACGCACATTATTCCTTTTTGATCTGCGCACTGATTAAATACGCCACCTTGATCTAACTGAGTGACATGCTTAGGTCTTTTCATGTGATTCTGTTTTTCTGGGCTTATATTTTATACTTGCAAGGGTTTTATGTATGCAAGGCGTTGAGTTTTTAATGCTCGCAAGGTTTATGTATGCAAGGCGTTGAGTTTTTATTCTTTGAAAAGTTTATGTTTGTGCATCTAGGATCGGACACGTTCATGGATCAACCATTATCTTTGTTGTGTGTTACGTATCTAGGTAGAGATGATGAACAGGCAAAAGATCCTGTTTCGGAGATATTAGTTGTTATTAAAAGTGTAAGAAGGGGATGTGTTGTGATTATGCGTAAGCTGACTGGCACAAACAATGAATCATGTTTAATTTGTATTATTATTTCAAAGTTCATCATTTAACATTCCGATTCGCCAGTTCCCACAATCATCACCAATAGCATTTATTAACTAGCTACGCATTTTATTATAAGAGGTTAAGCCTAAAAAAAACACCTTAAAAAATTTGAATACGTATACACTTCTTTTTAAAATTCGTGATATCTCTCGATAAAATGTCTGATATAAAGAAAGATATTGATATTGACACTACGACTGCTGCCGTTGATAATAATGGTGTATCCAATAATCAGCAACCCAAGGAATCTTTATCTCTCGTTTCCTTTCCGAATAACAAAATCATCATAAATAATATCAATAATATTAACATCAATAGCAATAATAATAACAATAACAACAACAACAACAACAACAAAAACAGCAATAATAATAATAATCTTAATAAGGATCAGAGCGTCAAAACCATTAATAGTTCGAAGAAATTAAAAGGAAAAGTTATCAATAAATCAATTGAAAAATTAAAGAATGAACAAAAGTATCATCATCCGCAACAAAAACATCAAAATCAAAAACAGAAATCAACCGATAATGAAAACGTTCAATTATTATGCAATGAGCCAATTGATTATTTTTCAACGAAATATACAGTCGGTGATATACAATTATCACCACCGTTGTCAACATCACCATTACCAATACAAACTCATTATAAAGCGGAAGAATCATCTAACGTCGATGACATCTTTAATCATATAATGTCCGATATTGAATTATTGCAACAAGAACAAAATGCCGCAATTTGTAATGACACCGAAATTCCGCCACTTGAGACAATACATAAGGTACTCGAAGAACAAGATGACCTGCCGACCAAATATCATCTATTAATGCGCGAATATACGTCGTTACGAAGAAAATCTTCAAGTTTATTCACGACGACGGAAGAAACGAAAATTCTCGAACCATCACAAATCATCGAAGATCCACCGAAAATAAGCCCTTTACAGCCGGCGAATTTTCATGTATTCAGTACAAAAGATTATATCTTATTTATGGCATTTATTTTTGTGTGTTTATTCTCTGTGATGATGCTTGGATTTCATGCGGTATGTGAGATGAAGTACAATTACGAGAATAATAATAGTCCATTGATTTTGATGGGGAGTCCACTTGTTGAAGCTGGAGCGCTAGTACCGGCAGCAAAGGACGCAGAACATCACAAAGAAGTGAGTAAGGTTAACTATGGCGCTGAAGTTTATTATCCAATACCATCATTGAGAAAAAATACGCAAGAAACTAGAAATGGTTGTTCCCTTGATTCGGCTCATGCTTACGTCATTCGGACAACAGTACCAAACGCTGATAAGCATAAGTGCTATTCTTTCTTGTTTTTCCATTTCTGTACTGGCAAATCCGGTAACGAGAATAGCTGGTTTTCATCTTAAGAATATACCCTCTCAAAAGTAGGATAGATAGTGTAGTGAACTTTTTTATTTGTTACAAAATTGAAATACTATGGACAATTTTTAGTGTTTTAGTGTTCTCCATTATTCTAATAAAATTATTCGAAAAATGTAAGCTTTTACAATTATGTATTTTATCTTAAAAATCCAAATTTATGCACACACGCTAAGAGTTTAAATGACAAGTACCTTTTGATGTTATTTGACACGCACTTAAGAGAAGAAAATAACATACTAGATATAGATTCAATTTAGTCCATTGTTGCTTCAGTCGCTCATGATATTTTCGTATTAACCGAATCACCACAATATTATCTATAATTCACTCTTGATATAAGATTGGGTCCAACAAAAAATTTCCTTATCTCGGGGACATTATTAATTAACTTTCTTATAACAAAAAGAAAGTTATTTTGAATTGACTTTCTTATATCAAGAATTTCTTATATCTGAGAGTTTCATCAAGGGCCACTTGTAATAGAAAAAAAAAAGCGAGTTGCTCTAGCAGGATTTCATTTAGTTCCATGCGTGAATTCAATATTTAAGCGCCTCATTTGTTGGGATCGAACCTGAAATATTTACTCAGCTTATTAGAAAATTGCAGAAGGCTCGGGTATTTGATTATTTATATTCGAATCAAGCCTTCGATGTTCTGGCAAGAAAAACTTTTTCTATCAATAACATTCGCAGTTTTATATGAAGAGACATTCTTTTTGAGAATGAATTCTTAAAATATTTCCTGATTGCAAATCATCTATATACTTACATATAATACTTGCAATTTTCCCTTACATGTTTTTTTCATTCCATCACTATAATTACATGTAAATGGAAGTAATTTCACATTAATTCTTCTACGAAGGTTTGCAACCATGATTTGGTTTGACCGTTTATTCAATGTTTAATCATCAAGTTGGTTAATATTAACCGACTTCAGTCACCAGTATTTCATTTTATATATATTTTATATGCAAATATTAGTTTTTTATCGATAAGTATAGTGCAGGCTGTCTTAACTGGCTAATCGTTTCAATTTTCGAAAGTCTAATGACTCAACATAAAGGCAAAATTTTCGAAATTCATCAGCAACTTTGCACTTACTACAAAGACAAAGTTTACTGGGGAATTTTGAAAATTTTGCCTCTAAGTTGAATTTTTGAAAATTGAAACGATTGGCCTGTTAAGACCTCCTGCACCATACTTATTTCCAAAAATCAATAGATTTGTACATGTGTTGTATTTATTCCTTTACAACTTCCATATCAAATTTTAAACAATAATAACAATATACAGTTTTGTTCATTTTAGAATCGCCCATATTTTTATAAATGTACTAGCGCTAGTATTCCTAATTTTCTTATTGGAAATTTTAATTAGATAAGACAGTTATGCGCGATTTGAAATTTTTAACATTTGCAATTGTATTGGTCTATTTACACGTGATTACTTGACAAAGTGTCATCTGTAAAATAGAATTCAAATATTGGGTAGGGTTAGGAAGAGAGATAAGATTATATGTAAAATTGTTTTTTCCTGATATTTTTATTAGTGTTCCAAGTTTAAATTTAGGCATCCGTTTCCCGTATTTTTCGCATTTTCATTTTCTGGATTGATCACCATCTCATTGGCCAAAAATCTAAAAACTCGCTAATATTCTATTATTAGCTTCAGACTCTGAGTTTAAGGTTGGAAGTCTTGAACCGTTGGGATTTGAACCATTCGGAAAATTGAACTTTTGGGATCTTGAATGTCGGGATAAAAAATAAAATGAAATTATATATGAATTATACATCAATTTAATTCGGTCAATCTGGAATAACTATGCTAGATGGCAATGATAATATAGGTTTATATGTTTGAAGAATTCGGTTTTGTAAAATAATTAACTCAGTAGTCCATGCTGATAATCTTTAAATTATAACATGTATGCATATACATATATTAAAGCAAATCCATCAATGTAAATATCATAATTTAAAATTTAAATTATTTGTTCTATTAAATCCCAGCCACAGATGAATCTTGATAATGATGACTTATTAAAAAACAAAATTGACTTTGGAAAAAAGATTATTTTACATCTGGAAAATTCACATTTCAAAACTTGTGCATTCTGATATTCTTGAAAATATACTATTATTATTACTACTATCATTTAAATTATTTTATAATAAATAAATAAATAAATAATATAATATAAAACTTGTATAAATTTTTAATTAAAAATATATAATTATAATTATATAAGTAAAATTTTCTCGATTTAAACTTTTATTAAGCAAAAATAAGTAAATTTTTTTAACTTAATATTTATTTATTTTAAAGTCTTTATTATATTAATTTTTTATTTTATTTTATTTAATTAATTTTTTTCTTACTTGATAATAATTTATTTCTTTATTATTTATTTTACTTAATTTATTTATTTATTAAATAAAAATTATATTATTAATTATTTAATTATATCTTATATTATAATATCTTATTAATAAATTTTTTTAAATTTTATTTTATTAATATTTTAATAATTTAAATCTTTTCTTAATATTTTATATAATATTATTAAAAATTTTATATATAATAAAATTAAATAATTAAAAAATTTATTAGTAAATTATTATAAAACTTTTTTTATAATTTATATAAATTAAATTATTATTTATATATTTAAAAATAAATTAAAATAATAATATAGTAATTAATATAATTATAAGATTAAAATTAATAAAATATAATAAAATCAAAATTTTCTTCTATATCAAAGTTATAATTTTATTAATTATATATTTTTTGATTTTTTGAAAGTTATAAAATTTTTTCTAATTAGAATAAAATTTAATTAGAAAAAATTTGCACTAACTTTATAATTAAAATAATTCTTTCAGAAAAAAGCTAAAAAAAATATAAATCAAACTATATTTTTTTAATATAAAAATAAAAATTAAATTATAAACTTTAATATAAAAAGAAGATTTTAATATTTTATTAAAAAATTAATTATTTAATTTTATAATTATATTAATTATTATATTTATAATATTTTTAATTTTATATAATTATTATTTTTAATAAATTCTAAATATATTTTATATTGAAATTTTGAATATTTTATTAAAAAAAATATTTAAAATATATTAAATAAATTAAATTTACTAAATTAATATTTAAAAATTAATATTAATCTTATATAAATATATAAAAAAATTATTAATTATTAATAAAGTAACTATCTAAATTTTATATATTAAATAATTTATATATATATTTATATAAAGATAAATTAATATTTATATTATAAAATTCTTAGTAATTATATAATAATATAATAATATAATAAATATATATAATAATTAATAATAAATTTTTTAATAAAATAATAATTCTAAATATTATTTAAATAATATAATATATTTAAAATATTCTTTTTTATAATTATATATAATTCTAAATTTAATTTAACTAAAAATTTAAATATTCTTAAATAAAATATTAAAAAAGATAAAATATTATTATTTTAAATATTAAAATTTTTATTAAATTAATAAAAAATAAATATTTTTTGATGTTAAATTATATTTTATTTTATTAACATTATTTTAATTATTTCAATATAATTAAATTACATTTTAATTTAATTTTAATTTTTTTAAATAATATTTTAACTTTTATAAATAAAATAAAAATAAAGTATTAAAAATTTATTATTAAATAAAATATAAATAAAAATATATTATTATTATATAATTTTTATTATAAAATATATAAATAAATAATTATAGTTTCTGTTAAAAGTAATAGCATGAATATTTTCATATATATTTTAATAATAAAGCATTTAAAACTCACAAAAATTTGTAGATATATTTTTTAGAATATTACAAATAAGATTCTCTAATAGTACAAGATATGTTAGCTTAATAAAATTTTATATTAAATATGATGGATTAGGTGTTTACATGAAATAACTTCAAAAAAAAATTATTTAAAAATATTTTTGTAAAGATATATTTTAAAATGTAAAAATATATTTATAAGTTTAAAAAAATTTTTATTATATATTTATTTAATAAATATCAGTTAAAAAAAGATTTTATTTTGATAAATTTTATAAAAATTATAGTAAAATATAGTAAAAATAAATTTTTATTATGATTTATTATAAAATTCATCAAAATAAAATCTTTTTTTAACTGATATTTATTAAATAAATATACAATAAAAATTTTTTTAAACTTATAAATATATTTTTTATATTTTAAAATATATTTTTAAATAATTTTTTTTCTTTGTGCTTTATACTTAAAAATGAATAATATTATTTTTATTTTTTGCTAATAAATATAAAAATTGGTAACAAAAATATTTACATTATTATATTTATTATTAAG